GGCCAGTTGAACTGAGCCTTGAAGTGTTCAGTCCAACGGTCAAGACGGCGTTGTTGATCGTGAATCAGCGTGCCATTGCATTCCTTATTTACCTCATTTACGCCTATTCTCCTAGGGCCCGTATTCCTAATTCGATGGAAAAGGTTACGACTATTACCAATAGCCGCAGCTTTCTCCATCTCTTTACACTTTTCTATCCACCACTTCTCGCGGTCATTCCTCAGACTCTTGATGAGCTGGCGTTTAAGGGATTTGCGGCTGGGTCGTATGTGGCATCCGGACGAAAGGTTCTGCGGGCGTCCAGCAGGGCAACCGAGGTCGACGAAATCCTTCGTTTGTGTTTTGAGCTTGAGGCAGTCCGACGTTGTTTTCATAGATATCTGCATAGCTTCCTTGATTTGCTTCCAGTGTCCATTGAGTCCTTCGGCTGGCGGTTGAACTGACAGGCGATCACAGAGCTCCGCTTCGAAGGCCGATTTGCACGAATCATTGACACTGTATCGCGGTATTCGTTGTCGGTGGCTTTTTTCGGTTGTTTGCTAGGCGTAAAGAAAATTTGGCTCGTAAAAAGGCGTAAAATCTGTTGACCAGTAAGAGCGGCAGTCTTGAATTGATCCCGCCCCCAACGGTAACTGATGGCGATGTGGTCGATTTGGGTGCAGCACAGTGAAGAGGTTCGTAGTTTCCATGTAAGTCGATGGCGTTTCTTGTGCGAGAAGTTCTTGCTTGAGAGGAACAATCCGTCGTCCGAGCAGAGTTGAAGTAGGCGACCTCCGTTGTCGTCCGGTTCGCTGGCACTGCATGTGGTCCGCCAAGAAGCTTTTCTGATTCGTTCAGGGATCCCACTTGAGCGTTGAAGACCCCGGCAACTACTACGACGTCCGTTGATCGAGCACTTCGAGTAGTTGAGAAAGATCCTGGTAGAATTCATCCTTGATTTCAGGTATACTGTAATCGGTCGGTGCATACGCCGATACGATGAATAGGCATCGACGCTTTATTCTGTAGCTGTTGACTCGAACTGGACCGTTGAGACGTACAGCACACAATCGGCTACTGACTGGAATCCAGTCAAGAAGCGAGCGCTCAGCCTTGGCACTTAGCGCAATCCCGATACCAGCAACACCGTGAGCTTCGGATGCCGAATCGCCTGGCACACGAAGGGTGAAGCGTGAGGTTGAGGTTGGATCAGGAGAACGCAGAGAGATAGTGGAAGTGGGGTCTTGTATGCGTGTTTCGGAGACACAACATACATCTACATTGAAAGTTTCGAGGTTTCCAGCCAGGGCAGCTTGTTGGCCAATCTGATAGAGCGTGCGGACATTGAACGCGGTTAAGTGGAAAGGTAATTTTGGCTTTAAAAATCGTATAGCTTTGAATGTCTGGCCTTGATGGTAAAACGCTGAGTGATATTCGATGAGTGGCTTAAACAGGAGTCATCTGGGATTAATCGGGGTTGAGAAGAAGAACTAGACAGATAGGAAGCATGGTTTTCCCAAATGGGTGCCTAAGACTTTAGGGCACGACATACTTCGCGGTAGCCCACACCGACGAAGCGGTTTTTCTTTGGGAACCCTAACCGGAGCCTTTGACTCAAAAGTCTGACCCCCAAGGCAGTGGGGCG